GGATCCCAGTGCCAGGGCCTGTCCCAGTTCATGGACACGGATCCCAGTGCCAGGGCCTGTCCCAGTTCATGGACACGGATCCCAGTGCCAGGGCCTGTCCCAGTTCATGGACATGGATCCCAGTGCCAAGGCCTGTCCCCATTCCCTGGGGGCACCGAGGATCAGTCAGATCCCATCAGGAATGGATCTCCAGCCCCTCAGGATCCAGGGAAGAGCTTCCCTGCCAGGGGAACTGCCAGGTCCTGATCCTCCTGGATGAGATCCTGGGGAATAAATCCTGCTGGGACACTCTGGGGGACAGTCCCTGTCCTCTGCCATCCCTGAGAATTCCCAAATTTCCACAGGATCTCCCACATGCCCCCATAAAATCAGCCAGAGGCAGAAGGTTTTTATTGGGAACATGCCTGGGGAGGGCGTGGATCCAGCCCCAAACCCATCCCAATCCCAATTCCATCTCAATCCCAATCCCCTGGGAATGGGGCAGAAGCTCCAGGAGAGCTGGCTGTGGCACCAGTCCCAGTCCCAATCCCAATCCCAATCCCAATCCAATCCCAATCCCCTGGGAATGGGGCAGAAGCTCCAAGAAAGCTGGCCATGGGTCCATATCCCACTGGGAAGAGCCGGCACAGCCTCTCCACCCCTCTCTGACATTCCCTGCAGGGACAATTCTCAATCCAAATCCCTGGGAACATTCCTGAGGGCAAATCCTCCTGGGACACTCTTGGGGACAGTCCCTGTCCTCTGCCATCCCTGAGAATTCCCCGATTTCTGCAGGAACCCCCCAGAGATCCCCGTGGAATGGGCAGAGGGGCTTTATTGGGAACATGGGTTGGGAAGGGAGTGGATCCAGCCTCAAACCCACCTCAATCCCAATCCCATCCCAATCCCCTGGGAGTGAGGCAGAGGCGCTGGGAGAGCCGGCTCTGGCCCCAGTTGCAATGGGAATCCCAATCCAATCCCATCTCGATCCCAATCCCCTGGGAATGGGGCAGAAGCTCTGGGAGAGCTGGCTGTGGCCCCAGTCCCAATCCCAATCCCAATCCGATCTCAATCCCAATCCCCTGGGAATGGGGCAGAAGCTCCAGGAAAGCTGGCTCTGGCCCCAATCCCAATCCCAATCCAATCCCAACTCCATCTCAATCCCAATCCCCTGGGAATGGGGCAGAAGCTCCAGGAGAGCTGGCTGTGGCCCCAGTCCCAATCCCAATCCCAATCCAATCCCAACTCCATCTCAATCCCAATCCCCTGGGAATGGGGCACCGGCTCCGGCAGAGCCGACCTTGGGTCCGTATCCCACCGGGAAGAGCCGGCACAACCTCTCCACCCCTCTCTGACATTCCCCGCGGGGACAATTCCCAATCCCGCTCCCCGGCACGCCGATCCCAAGGAACACCCGCTCACCCCTGGCTGTTGTCACTGTCCCCATCCCCTCCCAGCAGCGCTTCCCTCTCCGCGCCGTCCCCGTTATTCCCGCTGTCCCCGTTATTCCCGGCGCCGCGCAGGGCGCGGTGCAGGCCGTTGTAGAGCGCGGCTCCGGCCAGGAGCAGGGCGAATCCCGGGATTTGGAGGGGGTGGAAGCGCTCCCAGCGCAGCGCCAGGCTGAGCGCCCAGACCAGCAGCGTGCGCAGGCTGTCCAGCACCGTGCGCGTGGTCGCGCTCAGCTCCCGCGTCACGCTGATCCCCGCGAAGTTGAAGAAGGAGATGCTCCCCACGTTGCCCAGGAGCGCCGCCAGGATCAGGGGATCCCGGCGGATCTGGCACCAGGCGTCTGCCGGATCCTCCAGCACGCCGCGAGGATTCCCGGAGAGCCGGCCCGCCGGGATGAAGGACAGCGGCACCAGCAGCAGCGCCAGGATGGAGAAGCCGAAAAGACCTGCGGGGGAATTTCCCGGCTTTTCCGCGGATCCCGAGCGGCACCCCGGGAATTCCCGCTGCGGGGGATTCGGAGATTTCAGGGATCGGGGGGAAGCGCGGACCTTCGGTGCCCACGGCGCGCAGCGGGTGGACGTCGTGGCTGAAGATGAATTTCTCCTCCAGCACCATCTGGATGGACACGATGCCTTGGGCCAGCAGGATCAGGAGGTCACCTGGGAAAAGAGGGAAAACCGGGATAACAGCGGGGAAAAGAACAAGGAAAACATGGAAAAGAACAGGGAAAAGAACAGGGAAAACAGGGATAACAACAGGGAAAATTGAGATAACAACAGGGGAAAAAACAGGGAAAACAACAGGGATAACGACAGTGAAAATCGGGATAACAACAGGAAAACAACAGGGATAACGACAGTGAAAATCGGGATAGCAACAGGAAAACAACAGGGATAACGACAGTGAAAATCGGGATAACAACAGGGAAAACTGAGAAAACAACGGGAAAAACAGGGAAACAACAAGGGAAAAACCAGGGATAACAATAGAGAAAACCCAGATAACAACAAAGAAAATAGGGAAAACAACAGGGGAAAACAACAGGGAAAACAACAGGGGAAAACAACAGGGGAAATCGGGATAACAACAGGGAAAACAACAGGGATAACAACAGGGAAAACTGAGAAAACAACAGGAAAAACAGGGAAACAACAAGGGAAAAACCAGGGATAACAATAGGGAAAACCCAGATAACAACAAGGAAAACAGGGATAACAACAGGGAAAATTGAGATAACAACAGGGGGAAAAAACAGGGAAAACAACAGGGATAATGACAGGGAAAATCGGGATAACAACAGGAAAAAAAAAGGGAAAACAACAGGGAAAACCCGGATAACAACAGGGAAAACAGGGAAAACAACAGGGAAAATTGGGAAAACAACAGGGAGAACAGGGATAACAACAGGGGAAAACAACAGGGAAAACAACAGGGAAAACCTGGATAACAACAGGGAAAACAGGGATAACAACGGGGAAAATCAGGAAAACAACAGGGAAAACAACAGGGAAAAGGAAGAAAGGAGGAAAATGGGGGAAAAGTGACCCCCCCCCCCCACCCCAGGGACACCCCCACCCCCCCCAGCCATTCCAAGGAGTGATCCCCCATTCCAAGAGTGATCCCACAATTCCATGGAGTGATCCCACTACTCCAAGTTTTCCTGCCATCCCATGGAGTGATCCCACCATCCCATGGAGTGATCCCTCATTCCAAGGAGTGATCCCTCATTCCAAGAAGTGACCCCGCCATTCCAAGAAGTTTCTCCACCATCCCAAGGAGTGATCCCCCCATTCCAAGGAGTGACCCCCCCACTCCATGGAGTGATCCTGCATTCCAAGGAGTGATTCCCCCCATTCCATGGAATGATCCCGAATTCCAAGGAGTGATTGCCCCCATTCCAAGGAGTGATCCTGCATTCCAAGGAGTGATTCCCCCCATCCCAAGAAGTTTTTCCCCCATTCCAAGGAGCGATGAGTCCAGGGGCCAGCTGGAAATGTAATTAGGCTAATTGAAAAGTGCAGATGAGTGGAGGAGCCGGCTGGAAATACAATTAAGGCAGTAAAATACCGCACGTTTTAGTTAAGATTTTAAATGAGTCGAGGAGTTAAGTGAGAAACGTCGCTTGCAGGAATCACGTGCTCCGGCTAAAGAGTGACAAAAATACCAGGAAAACTAAAATTAGGAGCGACAGGGGATAGATGGAGCGTGGTAAAAGGGCAGGAGCCGTAAAAAACCCGGCCTTAAGAATAATCTAAGAGTTAGGACAGGCTTAGACCGTGACCAGCAGCTCAAAAGGACCGACTGGCCGTGGGTGAAGAGTTCACCGTGAGGAAGATGATTTTCTTCCTCCCATACGTCCAGTCCCTCATTTCAAAACCCCAACGACCCAATCAAGGGAGAACAATTATGCAGAATATTCAGCTAATTACAGTACAAAGCGGGCAGGTAATGAATACGTATTGTGTGTCCTTAAAAGCCTGGTGGATATGTAAAAACATGTTTGGATAAACAGAGCAGGAGTCTGCGAGTCCTCAGGCGTGGCTTTGGGAAACAATTCCAATATTCCGCTCGTGCCCGCGCTGTAACAAACACCCTTCTCTCCTGCTTTAATTAGTTGGGAAGTCGTTTGTCCGTGCTTCAGTGATCCCCCATTCCAAGAGTGATCCCCCATTCCAAGAGTGATCCCCCAATTCCATAGAGTGATCCCATCAATGCATGGAGTGATCCCTCATTCCAAGGAGGGATCCCCCATTCCAAGAGTGATCCCCCAATTCCATGGAGTGATCCCATCAATGCATGGAGTGATCCCTCATTCCAAGGAGTGATGCCCCATTCCAAGAGTGATCCCTCCCAATTCCATGGAGTGATCCCATCAATGCATGGAGTGATCCCTCATTCCAAGGAGGGATCCCTCATTCCAAGAGTGATCCCCCAATTCCATAGAGTGATCCCATCAATGCATGGAGTGATCCCTCATTCCAAGGAGGGATCCCCCATTCCAAGAGTGATCCCCCAATTCCATGGAGTGATCCCATCAATGCATGGAGTGATCCCTCATTCCAAGGAGTGATCCCCCATTCCAAGAGTGATCCCCCAATTCCATGGAGTGATCCCATCAATGCATGGAGTGATCCCTCATTCCAAGGAGTGATCCCCCATTCCAAGAGTGATCCCCCAATTCCATGGAGTGATCCCATCAATGCATGGAGTGATCCCTCATTCCAAGGAGGGATCCCCCATTCCAAGAGTGAGCCCCCAATTCCATGGAGTGATCCCATCAATGCATGGAGTGATCCCTCATTCCAAGGAGGGATCCCCCATTCCAAGAGTGATCCCCCAATTCCATGGAGTGATCCCATCAATGCATGGAGTGATCCCTCATTCCAAGGAGGGATCCCCCATTCCAAGAGTGATCCCCCAATTCCATGGAGTGATCCCATCAATGCATGGAGTGATCCCTCATTCCAAGGAGGGATCCCCCATTCCAAGAGTGATCCCCCAATTCCATGGAGTGATCCCATCAATGCATGGAGTGATCCCTCATTCCAAGGAGGGATCCCCCATTCCAAGAGTGATCCCCCAATTCCATGGAGTGATCCCATCAATGCATGGAGTGATCCCTCATTCCAAGGAGGGATCCCCCATTCCAAGAGTGATCCCCCAATTCCATGGAGTGATCCCATCAATGCATGGAGTGATCCCTCATTCCAAGGAGGGATCCCCCATTCCAAGAGTGATCCCCCAATTCCATGGAGTGATCCCATCAATGCTGGCCCCCCCCCCCCCATTCGAAGGAGTGACCTCACCATTCCAAGGAGTTTTCCCACCATTTCAAGAAGTTTTCCCCTCAATTCCAAGGAGTGACCCCACCATTCCAAGGAGTGATCCCACTATTCCAAGTTTTCCTGACATCCCAAGGAGTCACCCTGCCATTCCGTGGAGTTTTCCCGCCACCCCATGGAATGATCCCGCCATTCCAAGGAGTGATCCCACTATTCCAAGTTTTCCTGCCATTCCAAGGAGTGATCCCACCATCCCACGGGGTGATCCCTCCCAATTCCATGCAGTGACCTTGCCATTCCAAGTTGTTTTCCCACCATCATGCGGAGTGATCCCGCCACTCCAAGGAGTGACCCCAGCATTCCAAGGATTTTTCCTGTCATTCCAAGGAGTGATGCCACCATCCCAAGGAGTGACCCCACCATCCCAAGGCCATCCCACTGCCCTGGCATTCCCGGGATGCCAGCCCGTCTCCCACTGTCCTGGCATTCCCGGGATACCCGCGATGCCAGCCTGTGTCCCAGTGCCCTGGCATTCCCGTGATGCCAGCCTGTGTCCCAGTACCCTGGAATTCCCGGGATACCCGCGATGCCAGCCCATGTCCCAGTGCCCCGGCATTCCCGGGATACCAGCCCATGTCCCAGTGCCCTGGCATTCCACGATGCCGGCCCGTGTCCCAGCACCCCGGCATTCCCGCGATGCCAGCCCGTGTCGCAGTGCCCCGGCATTCCCGGGATACCAGCCCATGTCCCAGTGCCCTGGCATTCCACGATGCCGGCCCGTGTCCCAGCCAGTGCCCTGGCATTCCTGGGATACCTGTGATGCCATCAACCAGCCCGTGTCCCAGCACCCCGGCATTCCTGGGATACCAGCCCATGTCCCAGTGCCCCGGCATTCCACGATGCCGGCCCGTGTCCCAGTGCCCCAGCATTCCTGGGATATCCGTGATGACGTCGGCCAGCCCATGTCCCACTGCCCCGGCATTCCCGCGATGCCAGCCCGTGCCCCGGCATTCCCGTGATGCCAGCCCGTGTCCCGGTGCCCTAGCATTCCTGGGATACCCGCGATGCCAGCCTATGTCCCACTGCCCTGGCATTCCCGGGATACCCGTGATGACGTCGGCCAGCCCGTGTCCCGGTGCCCCGGCATTCCCGGGATACCAGC